AAACTAACGTCTGGATATTAGATGGGTGGTACGAATATAGAAATCCCGTCCGAGTCACGAACCACCGTCCACAGTCTGTGGATTTTCGAATATCCAACGACAGCGCGTCTTGTTTAGATGCTATAGGCTGGGGTATGTCACCTACCATCAAGGGCTATCTATCCCCCTCTATCATTTAAAAAAAACTTTCTTAACAGCGCAACGCAATTGTTTATTGTAACGCATGTAAAGGAGTTTTGATTTAAAATATGTTTGTGAGCCCTAGAAATCGGGTTAAAAAGGACCATTGATAGAAGTATGATTATATACAGAAATAACCAATTTTATCGCCGTCTTACGCAGATAGAAGTGATAACTGAATTGACAACACACCCACCACGACTTGCGGTTCAAGGGAAAACGCACCGCGGGCCATATTCGCGTCTCTTACGAACCGTTAAAGTTGGTATTCGCTTCCCGAGTTTTGACCACGATCTGTAATCGTTGATGAGTGTGCACGTCAACGAGTCTGTCCATCGCCCTTTCCAATTAACTACATGTCAGATCGACACTTGCACAAATCGGTAGATATGAAATGTACAAAAGCTATAGGAGAGCCGTTTGTACAGGTTTTTCGGAAGAACCCACTTCTTCTATTTTTGTCTATACTGAATCAAATGCTTGATTGAAAAATCAATTTTCAATATCCCTTTTTACGGCAACGCCTGACAGACCGTTTAGATCTCATTAACTGGATCGTTGGTTTAGTGGTTAGTATGATGATGTCCAAGATTTGAAACCGCGGAAAGTTAGTAGTTAAGAGTAACACTTGAAAAAATAAATAAAAGATAAGTAAGTTATATACTTCGCGTTTTAAATCGTTAAAAAACCTTTTTTAGTGATTTTAGTATTGACTGTAGTTTACGCTTGTAGTCTCATTGTGAAAAACAGACGTCGGGCCATAGTTAGAACAAATTGAGAATTAGTTACTTATATACCTTGAGTCGGAGTCTGTCAGTTGAAAATGTCTCGGCCCCGTGTCTTGAAGAGCCCGACTATTACTAATTAAGTACAGTGGTATAAGAGAATCTAAAGTAGATTTGAGCTCTTGAAACAAACACCAAGAAACTGCTTAATTTAAGATTGTTATCATTTAGATAAGAAATTAAGTTGAATAGAAATAAAATCCTATTTGCCATCTATAAGCTAATGTTACTAATAAATCCATAAATCTACTAGACCAGTTGTCTGAGCGTCTTCACCAAGTGGTTTTCACGTTTTTTTGGGACGAACAAGGGTTTTTTTCTTTTTTCCTTTCTGGGGAAAAGGGGGCAAAAACTTTTTACCCCATTGAATGATCGATTTTATTCGATGCAAGTTGAAAACTCATTCTGATTCTCAGCTGATCGCAAGAGCTCGTTACGAATAATTTTTTATCAGGACTCGAACGTGTGTCTTACGAATATTTTGTACTAAGCTGCTGAGATAACATCTGTTTAAAGTTTAGTTTCCATCTAAAGATATTAAAGCTTCTCAAAATGAAATGACTTCCCAGACAAAGTGGTCGGGGTGTTTATTTTTCTAAACCGTGTCCGTTCGCGGCACACTTTTTGTATGTACATGTTTTACTAGGAAACAACTCGGCTAGGCAATTAAATACTCTTTACACTTAAACAAATATTAGTTTTTCTTGTACTTTACGTCTAATTTTAAGTTTTTCACTCATTTGAGTAGGATATATGAAGTTTGTCGTTGAACAGCAAACATACATAAACAAAGCATTGATATTTTTGTTAGTGGTAAACATACAAAAATTTAAGTCCGGAGTCCGGTGTCCTTCTTTGAGGCTTGGAGCGGACATATTTCTGTGTTTCTCTAATTAATTTTATAAGCTTATTAAACTTTTATTTAGGACAAAAGCGTACAATTTAAAACAATTAAATAAAGCGATCACGAAGTTAAGTGTTTTATGTACAGTGTACTATTGTATTTGTAATTAGTCCCTATTAAAAAAAATTCGCTATTAAAAAAAGTCTATATTAAAATAATACTCAGATGCATTACTTTACGCTTATAGACTGTAGGTATATAGTCTTATCATACGTACTTACTTATATGTAAGCATGTTGCGGTATAAAAAGACCTCTAGTTGTCTTTGATACAAAAAATAACTCAATATTTCTTTAACATATAAAAATGACTCTATTTGTCCGTGAGATATAAAGAAGGTCTATGTGCGTTACCTAAAAAGTGGTCTAAATTATAAAAATCAGTAAGCACTACATACTACTCGAAAAAGAGAAATTCCGTCGAAAAACATTTTCAATTTTCCAAGCAAAGTGAGTAGTATATTAATCTTGACAATCTCCACTGTCTACCACCGTATGTCGCTGTTAACGAAACTAATCAAGGCAAATGGGTTTCATAAACACGTTAATTCTGTGACGACTTTTTTATAACTTAATTAATAACGGCGAATAGGTACAATGTTACGATTTAAAGCTTTTATAGGTATGCTACAATTTAATTTGACGACTGTCGCGTGAGTTGGGCCTTCGTCACATTTTTATGGCTGATGTAAAATAATGAAAAATACCAAACGACATAACAGCAACACTTTATATGGCAGGTTTGATTTACATGTTTATTGTGTTTGCTGTTATGTTAACATGTTGAACGCTGTCTGTAGTTTACGCGAGTAGTGCACATTTAAACGGTGTAAAACGCGATATATATTAGTTTAACTTATGTCTATACTCTATAGTCTCCCAGTGACCACGGATGCTGCAAAGCATCCGAAACGTCGGGCCGTACTTAAAACAATTTTCAAACAAGTTTAAGTAATAATACTTAATAAATCGCGTTTAAAACGTATCTTGGCATTGAAAATGAAGGTTAGATCTCGGAGCTATCTACCTTAGATGACGCGTAAGGCAGACTCATATTTTGACTTCTGCCTTTAATTATATAGATAATTATATGGGTAACAATTGTTCGTAACCTAAAATAAGGTTAGATTAAAAATATTGCAGATTTAAAATGCTTTAAAATTGCTTAAGCTCTAGTTTGTTTCTTAGCGTTGTAGCGCCATCTGGTAGCATAAAACGTTAAATCTTTTCTTGTTGAAAATAGTGAAAGTTCAGTCTAGATCGAGACATAATTATATAAGAATCCAATGTAGTTATCTTTTTTAGGCTAGAAATCCAGTTTAGATTTTAGGTACACATACCGTCATATTTGTGTCAGTGAACAATATTCGAACCATGGACCTCTCGACAAAGCAAAGCATTGCGACATTCCAAAAATTCTAAAAAGGTGTATGGTGATGACAAAATTCTTAGAAAGCAGTTGCGTCTATTTGTACAGGGTGATATAAAATACACAAGGGTGTGTAGTACAGCCGGCGCGTGCCTGAGAACATAGTACAAACTAAAAGTGTAGGTTAATTATGTATGTGGGAAAATACAATATAATCTAGGAACAGACAAATAAGTTATATACTGTCTGTAGTTTACGCGAGTAGTACACTTTGAAATAGAACATTGTAGCTGTTTAAAACACGATATATACCTATTAGTTAAGCTTAAATGAAATCATTTCAACTACTTTGGCCATTTTAAAACTAATTTTCATTTAAGTTTAACATTTTGAACCTGTTTTAGTTTAGTATAGTGTTAAAGTGTTTTATTTAAAAGATAACCAAGTTAGTACCCGAAGCGTCAGAGATATGAAGATGTCTTAACGCACCTTAATGAAGAAACCTCATTTAGGAAAAGGTACATAGAGTCGATTGGGCGGGTCATTGAAGTCAGTTCAACTACTTGTAAGTAAATTAAACAGGGAATCTGACACACAAATATGTCTGTCCCATGCCAATTAGAACGTTATTTCACAAGTTATGCAGTTTTAATAAAAAAATGACAAGCTTACGAATTTAGCTTCACCGCGTCATTTACTCTAACCATGCATTCAACAATCTGTTTTAAACGGAATGTCTATTATAAATTAGACGAAATTTGCGTAAATATTATAACTACATATTTATAAATATTATTTAAATTATGATTATATTTTCTTCAAATATTTAAAGTAACATACAGTTATAATCGTCAAGATTAAATTTACATTCCATTTAATATTAAATTATAAAGTGTGACTAAATTATTATCAGGGACATTTAGTAAAAGTATTTTTATCTATAAATATCTTCTACGCTTCACTTCGTTGTAAAAGCCTAAAATGTATTGCGTATTTATACAGGCTTTATTATTTAACTATTTAGTATGCAGATTTATTACGACGATTGGCCCGACCTCACCGTGCCAGCAAAAAGGCTCTCCCCCTCTTCCTCTCTCATACTTACGCAAACATAAAAAAAAACGATAATATAATCTTAGGTTACTACTGATGACTACTATTGACGCATCATCTAGACCCTCCTCCCTTCAAGGGCACCAAAAATCGTTTTTGTGCTTACGTAACACTTTAACGGGTTATAAGAAACTTTCAAATAATAGATCATCAATAACATTTAAGATTAAAACTTAGAGCACCCCTCAATTGACAGTTTTATAACTGTCAAAACTGGGGCTAGAACTCCCATAATATAAATACAAGCCCAGTGTTAAAATGTACGCGAAATCATTTAGAATAAAATATACGCAAAAAAGACACATTTGATATATTAAAAAAAAAAGCTCTTTAAATTGCGTGGTTGGTCCACCCAAAGATAGATCTTTAACTTCAAAGGCAAGTACTGTATTGATCTAGATCAACGTTTCGTTATTAATTTATTATTTAAATAAAATCTATTTTAAATCAAAAATATTTTATTAGTAAAGCTTGTTTACGTAAAAATGTATTAAATAATTTTAGTGGTTGTTCCATAGATACATAGAAATACAAGTTATTTAATAATTCAACATAGTAGTTTAAAAAATAAACATTTCCGGCTGGAGCATACCGGAACATACACTTGACATATTGAAAGCATAGAATTAAGCAAAGTGAAGGATTAAGAGCTAAGATGTCGTGGTAAGCTGAAGCAGATTTGGGTCCGGGTGGTTGCGCGGGCGCTTCGCGATCGATGCGGGCACGCGGGGGCGAAGGCCGAGGGGCGCGCGGGCGTGGCGAGAGGCGGCGCGCGGCGGCCATTCGCTTGCGGCTCGCCCCGCCTCCGCGCACTGCCCTCCCGCCCCGCGCGCGCCGTCACTCCCGTTCGTCAGTGCTACGCGAGCTCTCGTCGCAGTCGCTTGCGTCGTACACGCTCTCATATAACGCGGTCGGTTGCAGATGCGAGTTACCTCCAACTAACCATGCCGGCCGAGGAAGAACCCGTGGCCATGGACGCACGGGACCCACCCGGCTCGCCCCAACAATTCTGCCTCCGGTGGAACAATTATCAATCGAACTTAACCAGTTGTTTCGACCAGCTGTTCCAAACGGAAACTTTGGTGGACGTCACGCTCGCGTGCGATGGGAGGAAGCTGAAGGCCCACAAGGTGGTGCTGTCCGCGTGCAGCCCCTACTTCCAGAGCTTGTTCATGGACAATCCCAGTGAGCATCCCATCGTCATATTGCGCGACATAATGTACAGCGACCTGAAGGCCGTCGTAGAGTTCATGTACCGGGGAGAGATCAATGTGTCGCAAGAGCAGATCACGGGCTTACTGAAAGTGGCGGAGACCCTGAAGGTGCGTGGCTTGACGGACGTGAACGGGGAGCAAGCTGTGCTACGCGCGGAGAGCGCACAGAGAGAGATGGAGGCTTGCACCCAGAAACGGCCGATGGAGGATGAAAACTCGCTACCGTCTTCGAAGATCAGGCGGCGGGCGTCAGAGCTGGAGCGGAGCCCTAGACAGAGCCCTCGCGAGTCCCCATCTACGCCAGCTGACCTGCTGCCTCCACCAGACGTCAGCGTGCCGATGCCCATCCACGGCGACGATGCTGACATAAGACCCGGCATTGCCGAAATGATTCGCGAGGAGGAAAGGGTGAGTCGCCATGTTTGAAAAGTTTTTCCCGCCGTTTTCGCTCCGCCCCGCGTCGCCCCACTCCGCATTCCCGAACTTTATTTTTCCCCAATATTTTATGACTTTTTGTTTTTCACAATACTCATTGAGATAACTATATTCCTTTCAAGTGTATATATACTTTGTAGTATACTAAATTAAAAACAATTTATGTATTAAAAATAACAATACCAAGATAATCTCGATTGTGCACGATTTCATTCCGTGGAAGATTTTTATAATTACTTATTTAATTAAGTACGAACAACCTGTAATAATGATTATTAAAAACGTACAATTATTATTATTTTCTTTGCGTGTAAATGTAATAATACATACTTAGTTGCAAGTAATAACTTGTTAACTTAGTTTAATTGTTGCAACTGCAACTTCAGTTAGCATATTTATTGTAAAATCGGGTAAGTTTAAAATGGGCTTTAAGATTTGCGTCTTAACGTGCAAAGTCGCGTACAGGGGTTCAACGTATAGTTCAGCTGTTGTAAGACTAGGGACTGTCTCGGAGCGAGTGTCAAGGAATTGATAAATAAAGTTCGCTCGTTGCTTTTGTGGAGGCGGACCGTATTATTTATCACGTTGCTTTCATAACCGACTTATAACGGAAGGACATATATATGTTTCTATATATTTTTTATTTCTTTATATAACTATTTATATGTGTATTTAAATATTTTTATTTTAAACTTATATAACAGTAATAATTCAAAGAACCAACCGATTCTATTATTATATACTATACAAAGCCCATTAATCAATCTTTCAAAATTGTTACATTAAAAAAAAACGGTTTAAACTGTGGAACTTATTTTTAACGTTAGTCGCGGTCACGGAGTGGCTAAAGATTGTTTGCGTCTCGAATTTTAAAGTCAAATCTTCCAATCTAGCGCTACTCATTCATTTCTTTTATTTGGAGTCACAAAAATAAGACGGTATATATCAGCGAGGGTTTAAATTTAGTCATTTTTTTAATTGTTTTAATTCTACAAGGTAATTAATAATATACCTATATAGAATATTCATATAAATACAAATAAGAAAAGTAATATTTATTATTACAAAAACATTTATATAAAAATATAAAAGGAAAAAGTAATTGAATAAAATGTATTTATTATTTTATTTCTGAAGTATAATATTATTATATTAAAAGTTATCCTAATGCCGCATCCATTCTCTAAACGTTTCCATGTCAATTAACTTTGTTGCGCTACTTTATGTAAAAGGGAACTTTTTATTCGCACTACATTTTTATAGATTCCCATTCCGCCAACCAATTATGTATGCATTTTTTTTTGGTGTTGTATTCAAAACTATTCGTTAATTAAAAGGAAATTGTGTATTGTATCAACCGAATTAAAAAAATATATATATTTTTTTAATAATACCAGCCGCAGTTAACAAGCAAAAATATGAATCAATATATTGAATAAATTTTGTTGCGATTTTAAAATAAATACCTAAACTTTGTAAAACGTAATTAATGTGTCTCAAAATTAAATTATTTTATAATCAAATTGATATATACAAAAATACTAAAATGAAATTCTTTCCAAAACCGAATCACGAAGTCAAAGCATATATGGAGCCGCTAGAGATAGAGTAGCCTAACTGCAAGTTTCACCGAAGCTAATTGCGCATTTTTGTTTTTCTCCCTATTGAAAATCATGTTTTGTTATTAGGCCACTCTGCCTCTAGCAGCCTTATATATACCATAATATTCTTCTATCATAAACTGCTAGTAAATCCTAAATTCATCTATCTGTATCCAATTTCCATCTTTCTTAATGGCTTATAGATAAAAGCTCCACTAAAAGTTATAGCCTCCAAGGACACGATAAATATTGGCAATCTAGTTTAGCAAAGGTGGTTTTGTTATTCTATTCTTCTACTCGTCGAACAATTACTTAAAGAAAAGCTTTATAATAAATAGTTTAAGGGCCAACAAAGGTCGTCGTCGTTTTCTACTAGTTTAGTTTTGTGAGGTTGTTTGTTACTCATTTACAATGCAACGGCTAGATCGATATTGATGAAAATTGGTATGAGTGTAGCTGGCACGATAAACGAAGCATTTTAAAATTGGATAGTCCGTCTAGTTTCTTTAATTATAAATGGAATATTAGTATTTTAGTAGTTGGTTATTTAAATTACATTCTAAAACAGCGTCGTTTTCGTGTTATATTTTCCCAATTTCCCGGGTATAGAACCTAGAGCTTTTCAATCGAGATTTGATTATAGCCGTTATTAAGAACCGAAGTGTTAACCGGATGTTGTATACGCGTTCTGACTTTTCGTAACCGGATTCGAATTCCGAACTTCCTCATCACGGATCCGTTCCGTTCGTTTTTGTGCCTCATATCCTGGAGTTTTGATGGCGATTTTAATAAAGCGCAAATGATTTCCTTTAAGTGAGATCGAAAATTAGCGCAATGTCGCTCTTTTGCTCGCAAAAAGGTAACTTATGCAACACGTAATACAGGTACTAAGTGCTGAGTTTCCTTTGAGCGATAAATATTAATTATTAAGTTTACTCCATTGTTCTAAATTTTCCCAATAAAGCCCGTTACATACTGGTGTTTTGCTTACACGATTAACTTTTAACTTTTGCGGTTGTATTAAGCTTGGTAAAGCAAATATTTTTCGATATATTTAGTTATGTTAAATTATAAAAACATCAGATTAATACGTGGTGATGTGAAACATGATTTTTTGAGCTTTATAATAATTAAAAATCCATCTTATTTCGGAAAAATAAAACACAGGCGGAATATCGTGTTCTGTGTCACTCTTGGTTTGAAACTATATACTTTTTTCTATAACTGTAACTTCGTCTTTGTTAAATGAATTTTTATAGACTACGGTATGCGATGTACAAATAAACAGCATTGAAAAAGTAAAGAATGCCTTACCTACACTTGTTTGCCGTCACTTCTACGCTTAAGCAGTTATAAGCAGATGTGACAAAGACCGGGTAGAGAACGTTTGTTTGTTTAGAATCGACCCTCTGCATTGAATCAACATTTAAGAACTGGGGCTATACGATTTCTTCGAATTGTTTTTAACGTAGCTCTATTTTTACCAATCACCAAAGTTATATTGTCTAATTCATAATTATACCAATGCGATAGTTGTTATTTCTTCTGTTTGTATCTGTAGGATCTTATAACAATAGCTAGCTGTGCCCGCGACTTCGTCCACATGGATTTGTGTTTTGGAAACCAAAATTAATTTTTACAAACAATCTTCTTAGCTTTATAAATTATAGTTTTTCTTTAAATTTTCTACTGTATTTCGCTCTTATCGGTCGCTGCGTATTAAGAACTATATAATTCAATGATGTGTACACGCCCTAAGCTGTTATTTTCACGACCTAAAATAAAGTGTAGCAACAAAAGCATATTGTTCGTTACAATTAGCAATACAATCAGCATAGATAAGCATTCCTGTATATACGTATTTAGTATGTATACCTGCTTATGTACAAGTCAGGTAGAACAAAATACATCGATAATTAAGGTTGATTTTAAAACACAATGAAAAGAATCGAAGTTCGAATTCGTATTTTTTTAAATAGATAATTTATAGTAGGGTAAGATTCAGCGATGATGTAACGCGATAGCTCAATTATTTTGACCAGCACGTAACACTGTGGATGCCAGTTCTAGTTCCGCCCGTGTTGTTAATTTTTATCAATCTATTAATATAAACAGTACCCAAATCTCATACTACATTCTTGAGTTATTAATCGCCAACTTCTTATTAATAAGAAGAAAAAGAATAAGCTTAAATTATTTTGTCGTGTAGTAGTAGTGTTGGTATCGATATATGAACTGCAATATTTTAACAAACAAGACTTTAAGATAATTTTGTTAGGCGGACAGTGAAGGTTTGGTATCTATAGAGACACACGCTACCCTTTCAGGTCAGTTTTGTTTCGTAAAATGTTGTATTTATTTTCTTTGAATCAAACCTTTTAATCGATGCCAAAATTTAAACTTTTGTTAATTAATTGTGGAGAGACATCATTCAGCTGTTGCTGCATCTCCGACCAGTCATGCCCCGTAGATAAAGTGAATACAAGAAATAGTTTAAAAGTAATAAAAAAACATAGTAAAGTAATAGTAAGAATGGACAAGCGTCCATATAAATTATAAATCGATTGAAAACTTTATTATTTTTTACATCTTATTGCACATGAAGGCACTATATAATTTAAAAATCGAAAATAAAGTGAAAAAATTCTCGCCTCGGGCAGGACTTGAACCGGCATCGTCAGCGTTCCGTGCTGTCGCTCTACCAATTGAGCTATCGTGGATATACGTGGATATGCTTACACGTCATCGTCGAATTTTGTCACTATTGATACGTGCACCTCTCGCACAATGTAATTTCAAACTTAACACTTGAGTTCTTGTTCAATTAATAATTTATTTTTTAGTCTATAAGTAAGTATATGTGTACAATACCATTTGAAAAAATATTAAAGTATTCACACGCGTCTAAAATCAAAATAAACTACTCTAAATAACAAAAACTGTCAAATACACTAACATTAGGTGAAACTAAACTGTCAGCTGTCAGATGTGCGTACACCGAATGATGGCTTTAGGCGAAATATCACTATAGTACTCGCTGTTTACCAGTCATTAATACCTGCCAATTGCCAAACTTACCAAACGCAGGATTTCATTTTCCACATTTATCCGGCATATATTGTAGCGTTACTGCCTCATTGGTCTAGTGGTCTAGCTGCAGAACTCGAGGTCGCGATTTGAGCGGGATCTGTATTTTATTTATACTGTGTACGGTTTACGCGGAGTACATATTTCAATAAAGAAAAAATAAACACGTTAAAACGCGAAATATATTAAGTAAACTGTTTTTATTACGAACTGACGTTCCGGATGCTTTGCAGCAGCCGCGATCATTTGGTGTTTCAAATTAAGTTACTCAATCTATTGCGCGTTTTAAGCCGTTTCATTTTT